TCTAATAGCCACACTGATTAAAAAATAAAAAAATAAGTAGGTGAAGTTAACTGTAATATTTATTACTTAACTTCTTTATATCCAAAATATTATTGTTTCACCATGTAATCAGTGTAAAAAAGTATCAGTGAGATATTTTACATTCTTTTTTGTATTAAGTCTTTAGAATTTAATGAGTATTTTATATGTACAGCACATCTCAATTCAGAGATTCATTCACCTTTCAAATGCTCACTAGTCAGGTGTGGCTCTCGTATTGGACAGTGAAGCTTTAGAACAGGGCACAAATATATTGCTACTGCCCATTCCTCTCCCTGAACATCTAGGAACAAATGAAAATTGTGAAGTGTTCTTTTTTTGATAATATAAATAGCAGAGATGAGAGCTTCACAATATAACACCAAATGATTGTGTTTCCTAATTGACAATAGATTTCTATGGACAAACTGGTGAAATAATGTTTGCGTTTTTGTGATATCTGGCAATGAAACAGCCCCCACATCCCATTAAACATTTATGAGCACTACTGCAGGCTAAGAAAAAGGCTTAGCTTTTCAGAGTGAACCATGATGTGGTCTGAGCTTCAAACCTTGTGAGAGGATAGATAGCCACATCCCAGAAAGCAAAGGATAGCACAGTAGAGACATGCAGACATGTTACATGTTCACTAACACTCCTGGCTCCTACAACACTCTTCATAACCCTATTGTAGAATTTATTATATATGGGAAAAATATTTATTGAGCACTTATTCCATGTCAAGCATTAGTCTAGCCATGAGGGCAGCAGCAATGATCAAAGCGACCAAAAATCTTATCTTCATAACATGTTATTTTAGTGGGAGGAGACAAACAATGAACAAAATAAACAGAAAGTAGGAAGTACTGTAGAGAAAAATAGAGCAGGTAATGGAAGTGCCAGGGTTTCTAATTTTTTTTTATCCTCACCCAAAGACATTTTTGCATTTATCTTCAAATAGAGTGGGAAGGAGAGAGGGAAGAAGAGAGAGAGAAACATCGACTGGCTGCCACCCACACAACCCCATGGGGCCGGGGACAAACTGCAACCAAGGTACGTGCCCTTAGCAGGACCCAAACCCCGGACTCTGGTCCAGAGGCCGACACTCTAACCGCTGAGCCAAACCAGCCAGGGCTGAGGTTTCCAAATTTTTAATGGTGTGGTTGGGGTTAGGAAGGGCTTCATTGAGAAGGTGAAGTTTGAGCAAACACTTGATGTTAAGGTGAGGGAACAAGGCTTGCATATTTGGGGTAGAGGAGGCAGAATTCCCAGGAAGAACTCCTGGTGAGAGAGTGTGCCTGGAATGTTTGAGGAACAGCAGGGAGGCCTAAGAGGGAAGAAGGGAAAGCAAGAAGCCAACTACTTGGAGGTGAGTCAGGAGGAGAGATCCTGGAAAGAAAAGTGTGGGGAAGGTGGCTTAGTCCTGGAGGGGCTGCCAGCCTCCAAAAGGACTTTGGCTTTTACTCCGATTGAGATGGGAATCATAACTGCGGTTCTTAAACTTGGACCATCTTTATTTTCACAAAGCTTTAATTGAAATTTAGCATATCTTTCCATTGTAAAAATAGACAACAAACCACAGTAAGATCAGTAGCACCTATAGCCTTCTCTTAAATTGAAATGATTTTCCTATTATATTCCAGGATTTGCATGTATCTACACATATTACTTGTGGTTTATGCTCATCTACACAACATTATTAGACCACTACTGAATCACGTTAGTAATGAAGCTCATATATTGTAATCCTACATATTTTATTTTATGTATTAAAAAGAGGGGTCCTTGGCATAAAGGAGGCTAAGGATACCTGCTTTCCTGGGATTTGAGTAGAAGAGTCATATGATCTGACTTAGTGTTTTGTAAGTATAACTCTACCTGCTTTGTTGAGGATGGATTGTCAAGGCAAAGGTGGAGCAAGGAGACACATTAGGGTGGTACTGCTACAAGCTAAGCAAGAGATGGTTGTGGCTGGGGTCAGCATGAGAACTGGTTGGAGTCTGGATGCATTTTGAAGGGAGAACCAACCAGACATACTGTTGGGAGGGAAGTGAGAAAGGGAGCCAAGATGAAGCCTAGGGTTTGGGCTGGAACCACTGGAAGTATAGAGTTGCCATTAACTAAGACAGGAAAGACAGCTGGTGGGGGGCTTTGGAACAAGATTGAGATAACTATTAGATACCCAAGTTGTTTTCATTTGGGAGATTCAGGATCTAATCTTTTGTTTAATACTGGTTTCTGAGAGAGACTTATTAAACTTTACCAATATGATGGTAATTAACCAAATTCTCATAATTCTGTGAATTTTTACTTTAATGTACTAAAGCTATATTATTAGATCTCTACAGATTTGATATCATCATATTTTCCTCATGAATTTTTATAAATATATAATTGGTATTTAGAATATATATTGATGGGTCAAAATGAAGATATACACTCTACATAATTAACTCCTTTTTATTGTGATATAATTGACACACAACATTATACTTTTATTAAATAAAAAACATTTTCTTTCATAATGCTTTTCATCTAATGGTCTAGTTTATCTAGTGTTTACATTGCTACACTAGCTTGTATGTAAGTAATCAGTTGCCATTTCCCTTTCCTTTCCCTTTCAACTTTCATAAATATTATATGTTTTTTGCTAACAGCTTCCTTGAGATAATTCACATACCATACCACTTACAGTATACAATTCAGTGGGTTTTAGTACATTCACAAAGTTGTGCAACCATTACCTCTATGTGGTTCCAAAATATTTTCATCACCCCAAAAGATACTCTGTATGCATTAAGCATGCATTTTTATTCTTTTCTCCTCCCAACCCGCCTGGCAGCTGCTAACTTATTTTGTCTCTATAAGTTTGCCTATTCTGAACATTACATATGAATGGAATCATACAATATGTGACCTTTGTATATGGTTTCTTTCACTGAGCTTCATCCATGTTGTGTGCCAGTACTTCATTACCTTTTATGGCTGACATTTTGTTTATCCACTCAGAAGTTGAACATTTGGGTTCTTTCTGCCTTTGGGGCTATTATAGTAAATAATGCTGCTGTGGGCATTCATGAACAAGGTTTTGTGTGGACATGTGTTTGTAATTACCTTGGGTATTTTCCTAGTACTTTTGTGGTCTTGTTTTTTACATTTACATCTCTAATCCATCTGAACCAGATTATGGTATCAGGTGGCCTTATCAGAACCAAATTCTTATTCTTCACCTAAAAATTGCTCATAAATATTAAGGTGATATTAATTTTTAATCTTTATACAAGTTAATTATAGATACAGATTATTCTTTGCAAATATGCTATGTTGTCCATAATATGGGAGTGTGCTCTAAAATTTAAGACCAAATACTAAAGTTGAAAAGTTAAGTAGGTTAGAACATTTTATTAACATTAGTAACACTAGCACTGTCCAATTTAGTAATAATACCTAAATGACTGAGAGCATTCAGTGCAAGACCAGCTAAATAATATGCTAGACTCATTACAAAATGTAAATGCAGGTTCTAGCATAAGATAGGGAAGTCCTCTCCCCTTTCCATGGGCCCACCATTCCAAAGCGCATCCCCAACAGCTGTCAACCTCTCCACTGGGATTCACAAAGTACCTGGGTGGGGGGTGGGGAAGAGGTCCATGCTGAGTTGCCAGCTGAACACTCTGTGGCACTGCCTGCCCCAGGTGGGGATGGCCATCACCATGCTCTGACTAGACACTTCATGGGACATCTGATCCCCTATCCTTCTGTTACCCATGTCCAGAATCCCACTCAAGGTAGAGCATGGTGGCTGAATGTAGGCCTCCCCAGCATGTGAAACCCAGTTGTCACCTCCAGCAAAGGGCAGCAGCAATAATGGGGCAGGGTCGGGAAGCCCCATAGGGCCCAGTGTGCCAGGAAAAGGGAACAGATGGGAAAGAACCCATCATGGTGTGATGGTGGGAGGTGGGTACCACATGTGAGCCAGGGCTCCAAGCCCCTGGATATGCTCTATTATCTTACTTGACTTCACGTAAAAATACAAAATAAAAGATAAAATTACAAGAATTAAGACTCATGCCCTGGCATCGCTCAGTGGTTAGAGCATTGGTCCATGCACTGAAGGGTCATTGGTTTGATTGCTGATCAAGGGCACATACCTGGGTTTACAGGTTTATTCCCATCCCCAGTTTGGGTATCTGCAGGAGGCAACCAATTAATGTGTCTCTTGCATATTGATGTGATATTTCTCTCTCTTTCTCCATCTTTCCCTCCCTTCTACTCTCTCTAAAAATCAATGGAGAAGATATCCTCAGGTGAGGATTAACCAAAAAATAAAAAATAAAATAAAAAGAATTAAAACTCATGAAGCCAGCTCAGGTTTAATGTAATTTCTTAACTTCTTAACATACTTTAAAACTTTGAAAAATTTGGCTTTATGTATGAAGTAAATGTGAAATAAAGCATGGTGCTGAACATTTTTTTTTTTTTTTATCCTCACCCGAGGACATTTTTTGTTTTGTTCAGATAGAGAGGGAGGGAGAGAGAGGAAGAGAGAGAGAGAGAAACATCGACGTGAAGGGACACATCGAGTGGCTGCCACCCACACGACCAACCAGGGCCAGGGACAAACTGCAACCGAGGTACGTGCCCTTAGCGGGAACCGAACCCGGGTCTCTCGGGACCGCAGGCTGACGCTCTAACCGCTGAGCCAAACTGGCCAGGGCTGAACATTTTTAATTAAATGAATTTAGAGTGTGACTTTGTATTGTCTCAGGTTAATGACATTATTTGTTGTTTTTACCTTGTCCTTTGTACTTTTTTTTACAAGTGTTTTCCAGGTTTCCTACAATGAAAGAAAACCCCAATGCTATATAAAGATATTTTACTGATTATCTTACATAAATGTGGTATGTTACAATTCTGTGTCCATTTTGTGGGGAATACATATTTGGTACTTTAACCTAAAAAATGTATTTATCTTTACCTAGGACAATTAATATAAGATTAGCCAATTTATCGGATACTTCTGGTGTTGAAAATCTCGTCAGCACCCTCATGCTCAATAAAAGCATATTGGAGGATTTAAAGCAATACAATAAGGCTCGCAGAGACCCTGTAAGTACCTGTTATGACCAGATTGGCTTCCTTTTCCTCATGTTATGGGACCATTATGATCCATGTAGGTTCAACCTGAAGTTTCCTTGGCCCTCAGCAGGAGAATTATGTGGTGGGGAGCAGCATGGTGTTTGAAGGTGGCAGTAAGAGAGAAAAAGAAGGAAACTTTAAGGTTTAAGCAAGTGAGGCTTGTTCTCACTGGTGACCCCAAGGACTGTGGTGGTACATACATGAACCTACACAGGGGATACAATTGTGCAGAATTTAATACACACACACACACACACACACACACATACACACACAATTGTATCAATGTGTGTTCCCTGCATGTCATATTATACTAGTATTTTGTAAAAGGTTGCCATTAGGAGATACTGGGCAAAGTGTAAAAAGAATTTCTCTGTATTTTTCTTACCACTGCTTATAAGTCTACATCTATCTCAATAGACCTTTCAATTACACACACACACACACACACACACACACAACAGACAAAGCCAGTTTCACTTGAAACAGTAAAAATTGTTAGTTTGAGTTCTCGTCCTTGAGTGCAAATATTTTTAATATTCTATGTGGCAAAATGAAAAGTGCGCATAAAGCTGTTCTAACTGCAGACTGAAGCATGTTGGCTATTTCAAGGAAAACCATTTCAGCAGTTGTTTGAATTGCATGCTGGCACAGCTGGCATTTTCATAGAATACCATTTTTACTTGAAAGAACAGCTGACAGACAAAATATGGTTATTCAGTCTCAGGTAGTTGGCAGACATTTTTTTAAAAAAAGCCCTGCTGGTTTGGCTCAGAGGTTAGAGCATTGGCCTGCAGACTGGAGAGTCCCAGGTTTGGTTCCCACTAAGGGCACATATCTCAGTGAGGTTTGTCCCTGGCCCCAGTTGGGGTCTTGTGGGCGGCAACCACTCGATGTGTCTCTCTCACATTGATGTTTCTCTTGCTCTCTTCCTCCCTCTCTTCCTCCCACTCTATCTGAAGATAAATGCACAAATGTCCTTGGGTGAGGATAAAAAAAAAAAAAAAAAGATATAAACACAAACAAACAAAAAGAAAACGGTGAGCCTGTTACTCCAAGAAAACAACTGACAATACTTGTCCCCTATGAAAAAATTCAAGCTTTTAAGAAAAAAATTCGAATTTTAGAAAATCAGCATCTGCCATTGCGGGATTGACAGCTTCCTAATATTTAACAGACTTTTTTGATACATCTAATGGTGATATTACTGAATGTGATGTTTTGCTATTTTATAATTAAATAGGCTAACATTTGAAAAATCTGCATAATCTTGGTAGACCAATATTTTCCTGATAAAAAATACATGATGTTACAAAATCCTGCATAGGTAAAAGATTCAAAGGGCAAAGTAGACCAATGAGTTTTAATGTAGTAGTATATACAAAGTTCCCTGATATGGTTTCAGATTCCACATTTAAAGATTGTAATCTTTAATACAATTGTTGAGTTTTGGTGGAACATCAAATAAGAATATCCATAATTATTTGAAAAGATTATTTAAATACTTCTTCCTTTTCCAACTACTTTTCTTTGTAAAGATAGATTTTTTTTCATATATTTCAATCAAAAGACATATTGTAACAGATTAAATATGGAAGCAGATATGAGAATCCAGCTGTCTCCCATTAAGCCAGACACTAGAGATTTTCAAAAATATGAAACAATGCTACTTACTGTTCTCAAAATATTTTGTCAAATTAAAAAAAAAATTTTAAGTTAAGTTAAACAAAAATTTAAAAATTAAAAATTTTCTTTGTTTCAATTACTAATACAGGAAACAGTGATATATACATAGAAACCAAAGCTCTCTGGAGTCCTCAGGGCTTAGGAGTCCTGAGGTCACAATATTTGAGAACCATTGATGTAGAGCTAAAGAAAAAATCTGAGTCAAAGGATTGCAGTTTGAATCGTAGATTCATTCTTTACCAGCTGGAGATCTTGGCAAGTTACTCTGCCTCTCAAACTATTCTATCCCAAATGAGGTAGAGATAATGATAATACTTATAGGCTCAGAGTGAATATTAAATGAACACAGGCAGGGCTTATAAGTTACTACCTGGCCCAAAGGTAAGTGGTGATAGATGGTGCTTCTGAACATTATGTAATTATGTTTCAAACCTATTATTGACTGTTTACAGAAACATTGAAGCAATATTTTCAAGGGTCTTAAAAATGTATTCATCTTTTTAGGATGGAACACCACTGCAGGCATTTGTAGCTGATGTGGCAGAACAAATAGTTGGCATTGCAGTGATCAGAAATGAAATGGTAAATTGTGAAATGGATATTAATTTCCTTGATTTGCCTCTTTATTTCATGAATTAGTATACAATACCTCTTTTGAAGTTTCATTTTTACTTGTTTAATATGAATGCCTCTTTTTCTGAAGGATACAAATCATTATAGGCTTGTATCCTGCTTTTAAATTTTCTTTTTTTTCAGTTCAAAAATGTTTAAAATATTACAAAAATATATGAAAACATTCAGATTCTAAAAATTCAAATAGTCTCCCACCACCAAGAAAGAAAAAGGAATTCCACTGCTCTCCCCAAAGGATGACTACTATTGATAGTTAGGCATTTATCTCTTCTAACATTTTTCCTTGCGCTTAATTACATGCATTGTGTATGTGTCTTGTCAAGTGGATTTTTTCCCAGGTCACAGTCAGTTACTCCAAAGTATGTATTACAAAGTATTCCATTTTTTCCCTACTGATTTAAAATGCTGCCTTTACATTGTTAAGTTTTCATGTGCCTGTGTCTGTTTTCACTCTCTATTCTGTTCTATGGATTTATTTGTTGGCATCACATTATTGTGTGCTTTGCTGTCTGGTAGAGGAGTCTTCTTTCATTTGTCTTTTTCCCCAAATGTTAATGGCTTTAATTTAGATATTTTCTGTTCCAGATAAACCTTGTAATACTGATTATGAATTTATTTGTGCTTATGTAGATTTTATAGAACAATTTAGGAAGAATTGATAATTAAAATACTGAGATGCGTCTTTTAGGAATATAGTCTCTATTTTTGTTGCTGTAGTGGTTGAATTCTTTTGAGTTCTTTGGAAAACTTTTGTGGCTTTGTTCACACAGGCAAGTGTGCCAGATACTTTTTTACCCCTGTAGGTTCGCTCTCTGCCTTTCTCCATCTTGTTCTGTCCCAGGAAGCCTAACCTGAGAGGCAGCATCATGGGAGCCTTTGCCTTTTGGCTTCCAGTTAGGTTTGACCAATGGGGAACCATGATGAGAGGAAGGGAGAAGAGTGAAATTGGGCTGCTCTGGTCTATTCTTTGTACTGAATTCTCTCATCTTTTCAAGGCAGCCTCTTCTCCATGACTCTTTCATTGGATTCCAGGAACCAGTACCTTTCATACCACTCCCCCTAGTGTGGTAATAGCTTGCAGTTGCTGTTATATTATCCCCATTGGTTTCTCAACAACCTGCCCCCTCCTTGTAAATAGTCCCTTTGTTTTTTGTGTGTTTTTTTTTTTGTAAATTACATTTATTTATTTATTATTATTATTTTTGGTTACAGATGTTTCTCCTTTTTTACCCCATTGGCACCCCCCCTTACCATCCGCCCCACCCCATCTCTGGCTTTGTTGTCCATTACAATTATTATGCATACATGCATATAAGTTCTGTGGTTTATCACTTCCCACGCACCCATACCCCCTCTTCTGAGGGATGTCAGTCTGTATCCTACTTCTATGTATCTAGGTCTACCGTATTCCTCAGACTGTTATGTTCATTATATTCCGTATATAAGTGAGATCATGTGGTATTTGTCTTTATCTGCTTGGCTTATTTCATTGAGGATAATACTTTCCAGGTCTCTCCATGTCATCTTAAAGGATAAGAGATCTTTCTTTCTTACAACTGCATAGTACTCCATTGTGTATATGTACCACAGCTTTTTTATCCATTCGTCTACTGATGGACACTTGGGCTGTTTCCAGATCTTAGCTATTGTAAATAGTGCTGCTATGAACATGGGGGTACATATATTCTTCCTGATTGGTGTTTCAGGATTCTTAGGGCATATTCCTAGAAGCGGGATCACTGGGTCAAATGGAAGTTCAATTTTTAATTTTTTGAGGTAAAACCATATTGTTTTCCATAGTGGCTGCACCAGACTGCATTCCCACCAGCAGTGTACTAGAGTCCTCTTTTCTCCACATCCTCGCCAACACTTGTTTGATGAATTGTTGATGGCGGCCATTCTGACAGGTGTGAGGTGAAGCCACATTGTTGTTTTAATTTGCATCTTTCTGATGATTAGTGATGTTGAGGATTTCTTCATATGTCTCTTGGCCATTTGTATGTCCTGTTTGGAGAGGTGTCTATTCAGCTCCTCTGCCCATTTTTTAATTGGGTTCTTTGTCTTCCTTTTGTTGAGTTGTTTGAGTACTCTATATATTTTGGAAATTGACCCCTTATATGATGTATCATTGGCAATGATGTTCTCCTATACAGTGAGTTGCTTTTCCATTTTGATGATTGTTTCTTTGGCTGTGCAGAAGCTTTTTAGTTTGATGTAGTCCCATGTGTTCATTTTCTCCTTTGTTTCTGTTGCTTTAGGGGATGTATCAGTGAAAATTCTGCTGCATATGATGTCCGAAATTTTGATGCCTACGTTTTCTTCTAGAATTTTTATGGATTCATGGGTCACATTTAAGTCTTTTATCAATTTTGAGTTTATTTTTGTGTATGGTGTAAGTTGATGGTCTAATTTCATGTTTTTTTCATGTAGCTGTCCAATTTTCCCAATACCATTTATTAAAGAGGCTGTCTTTACTCCACTGTATGCCCTTGCCACCTTTGTCCAATATTAATTGAGCATATTGCCTTGGGTCCATTTCTGGGTTCTCTGTTCTGTTCCACTGGTCTATATGCCTGTTCTTGTGCCAGTACCAGGCTGTTTTGATTACAGTTGCTTTGTAGTACAACCTGATATCTGGTATTGTGATCCCACCTACTCTGTCCTTCTTTTTCAAAATTGCTGAGGCTATTCGGGGGCATTTTTGGGTCCATATGAACTTTTGAAGTCTTCGTTCTAGTTCTGTGAAATATGTTGTTTGTATTTTGATGGGGATTGCATTGAATCTATAGATTGCTTTGGGTAGTATGGACATTTTAATGATGTTAGTTCTTCCGATCCATGAACAAGGTATGTGCTTCCGATTTTTTATATCTTCCTCTATTTCTTTTTTCAATGTCATGTAGTTTTCTGCAAATAGGTCCTTTACTTCTTTGGTTAAGTTTGTTCCTAGGTATCTTAATTTTTTTGCCACGATGGTAATTGGGATTGTATTTTCAGTTTCTCTTTCTGTGAGTTCATCATTGGTGTATACAAATGCTGTTGATTTCTTGACGTTAATTTTGTATCCTGTTACTTTACCAAATGCATTTATTAAGTCTAGTAGATTTTTGATGGAGTCTTTAGGGTTTTCTATGTATAGTATCATGTCATCTGCAAATAATGACAATTTTACTTCCTCCTTTCCAATCTGGATCCCTTTTATTTTTTCTTCTTGTCTCATTGCTGTGGCTAAGACTTCCAGTACTATGTTAAATAGGAGTGGCGAAAGTGGACATCCATGTCTTGTTCCTGTTCTTAATGGAAGTGTTTTTAGTTTCTGCCCACTGAGTATGATGTTGGCTGTAGGTCTTTCATATATGGCCCTTATTATGCCGAGATATGATCCCTCTATTCCCACATTGATGAGCGTTTCTATCAGAAATGGATGCTGGATTTTGTCGAATGCTTTTTCAGTGTCTAGTGATATGATCATGTGGTTTTTATTCTTCATTTTGTTTATGTGGTGTATCACATTTATTGATTTGCGAATATTGTACCAGCCTTGAATCCCTGGACTGAATCCCACTTGGTCATGGTGAATAATTTTTTTGATGTATTGCTGGATCCGATTAGCTAGTATTTTGTTTGGGATTTTGGTATCTATGTTCACCAGGGATATTGGCCTCTAGTTTTCTTTCTCTGTAGTGTCTTTTTCTGGTTTTGGAATTAGAATTATGCTGGCCTCATAGAACAAGTATGGAAGTCTTCCTTCTTCTTGAATTTTTTGAAATAGTTTGAGGAGAATGGGTGTTAGTTCCTTTTTTGAATGTTTGGTAAAACTCCCCTATGAAGCCATCTGGGCCTGGGCTTTTGTTTGCTGGGAGAGTCTTGATTACCTCTTCAATTTCCTTAGTTGTTATTGGTCTGTTCCAGTTTTCTATCTCTTCCCGGTTTAGTTTTGGGACACTATGTATTTCTAGAAATTTGTCCATTTTGCTTTAGATTGTTGAATTTGTTGCCATATAGTTGTTCATTGTAGCTGTTAACAATCTTTTGTATTTCTGTGGTGTCGGTTGTTACTTCTCTTTCATTTCTGATTTTGTGTATTTGGGTGCTTTCTCTTTGTTTCTTGGTGAGTCTAGCTAAGAGTCCATCAATCTTGTTTATCTTTCTGAAAAACCAGCTCTTTGTTTCATTGATCCTTTGAATTTTTTTTTTTTCTTTTGGTCTCTGTCATTTATTTCTGCTCTGATCTTTACTATCTCCTTCCTTCTACTTGCTCTGGGGTTTTTGTTTTGTTTGCTTTCTAATTCTTTAAGTTGTGAGGTTAGACAGTCAATTAGAAATATTTCTTGTACCCTGAGGTAGGCCTTAGTGCTATGAACTTCCCTCTCAGAACTGATTTCACTGCATCTGATAGATTTTGTGTTGTTGTGTCTTCATTTTCATTGGTTTCCAGGAAGTTTTGAATTTCTTCCTTGATCTCTTCAGTAACTCATTCATTGTTTAATAACATGCTATTTAGCGTCCATGGGTTCATATGTCTTTGCATGTTCTTGTTGCAACTGATTTTTAGTTTTATGCCTAGAGAAGATGCTTGATATGATTTCAATATTCTTGAACTTGTAGAGACTTAGTTTGTGTCCTAATATGTGGTCTGTCATTGATAATGTCCCATGTGCACTTGAGAAGAATGTGAATTTAGCAGTTTTGGGGTGTAATTCTCTGTAGATATCTATTAAATGCATTTGGTCTTGTGCTTCATTAAGAGTCTCTGTTTCCTTGCTAATTTTTTTGTCTAGAGGATCTATCTTGTGGTGTCAATGGGGTGTTGACGTCCCCTGCTATGATTGTATTGCTGTCGATTTCTTCTTGTAAGTCCTCCAGAAGATTTTTAATATATTTTGGTGCTCCTATATTGGGTGCATATATGTTTATCAAGGTTATATCTTCCTGTTGGGTAGATCCTT